ACAGGCGCCCGCCACAACGCCTGGCCATTTTTTGGTTGCAGCCATCATTGTTGTTTGGCGGGCCGGGCTGGAGATTCGAACCCGCCACCTTAGGTGTATGTAGCTGGCGCCTTAGCCGCTTGAGCCACAGGCGCCGAGCCACGTTTTAAACATTTTGAGAGAAGAAATGAACATGGCCTATCTGCTTTCACTTTAAAATGATAATAATGAGTTTTATGAAGATAAAACTTGCAAGCATATGTACATCATAGAATAACTGCACAGTTACCCTGTTAACTGTGTATACAGAATGCCATGCTGAGCTCAATGTGCTTTTAATCTGATACTGCAATTAAACATTTAGAATTATGTTCAATTATTAACACATTTTTCTCATTTTACCAGACCTAGGGCAATAGTTAAAACACTATAAAGTTGCTACTTGTGCACTCTCGTCATCCTTAAGTGTTGAATTAAAAGTTGATCAAAAATATTAGAAAAACCTCTTAATTACATAAAAAGTTATCTAAAACAATAAACTGAATCCCAAAAAAGATTCTGAAATGTCTGGCAAATTTATGACAGAAATCTATATTCTGACTTTTATGATATAGTTAATCCTTTTGTGATATAGTCAATATATTCCATGTTAGGGCGGCACCCATAGCTCAGTAGGCTCATACACTGGGGCTGGTGGGTTCAAACCCAACCCGGGCCTGCTAAAACAATAATAACAACTGCAACAAACAAACAGACAAAAAAAATAGCCAGGTGTTGTGGCGGGCACCTGTAGTCCCAGCTACTTAGGAGGCTGAGGCAAGAGAATCCCTTAAGCCCAAGAGTCTGAGGTCGCGGCGAGCTGTGACAACACAGCACTCTACCCAAGGCAATAGCTTGACACTCTGTCTCAAAAAAAAAAAAGAAAAAAAAATATATATACACACACACATCTATTTTATATATACATTAAAAATATGTATATATATATATTTTTTATTTTATTTTATTTTTTTTTTGAAGAGACAGTCTCACTTCATCACCCTCAGTAGAGTGCTGTGGTGTCACACAGTTCATAGCAAATTCCAACTCCTGGGCTTAGGCAATTCTCTTGCCTCAGCCTCCCGAGTAGCTGGGACTACAGTCACTGCCACAACGCCTAGCTATTTTTTTTGTTGTTGCAGTTTGTCTGGTACTGGGTTGAAGCCGCCACCCTCGGTATATGAGGCCGGGGTCCTAAACACTGAGCCACAGGGACATATGTATATATGGAGTGAGCACATCTAAGGTGACCAGACGTCCCACTTTTGGCGGGACAGTCCTGATTTGTAACAATTTGTCCTGCAGCATTTTTAAAAAGTCCCAATTCTTGGAAAGCATGCACAACAAGCTAGGGAACAGCAGGAGAACAGGAAAGGAATAGACGGTTTTCGGCTGCCATGTGGCTATTTCACCAGGATATGAGTTTTATATTATTTTTGTTAATTTTATAATGTTAAACTTTAATAATAACAAATAATTCTTGAGAACTGATTATCAAGAACTGCTTATCAAAGTTCACATTGTTGATCAGTTGTTAGAATTCAACCACCATTGTTTGGACTTAATGAACAATGGCATTTTTTGGCATTGGCAATGACAAAAACATTTTGTAACTGTCTCTTAGATGGTACACATTGTACTGCATGCTAGTGCTAGTTAAACAAGTGATGTCAACAAATCAGCTATTCAGATAATTTAGGTAAGTAATTTATTTATTTATTTCATGTATTTAGCAGATAGTACTCATTTATATTTTATGGTGGCGGCAAAAAATCTAGCACCAGCCTTGAAAGTGACACTTACGACTTACAAGGTATCATTATTGAAAAAATATATTGATAAGGAAAAGGTTAAATCTTGGGCATCAGCAAAAATCACAATAGAGAACAAATGGTTAGAAATATTTCATCATTTTGAAACAAATCATTTTCCATACAATAATGCACTAAAAATTGTGGGATACGCACTTCCTTACTGGAAACTAATGCTGCGACTGAATGTGTTTTTCCTATAGTAAATAAAGTGTGGACATCAGAAAAATCACAATTAAGTGTTGAGACTTTGAAAGCCATTTTATGTGTGAAATATGATTTAACAAATTCTTGTGAAAAATTTCATGACCTTTTAAACGATGACAGCAATCTACTCAAAAAATTCACTCAAATGAGAAATATGCCAAAGAATAAAATAATACTATACATAATTTTTAATGTATTATATTTGCAAATTGTACTTATGTTGAAATTTTAAAAAATATATTACAATACTATTTTTGCATTCTATGAAAATTTTTATTGCTCCATTTAGACCAAATTTTTAATTAAGAACACCCACCCCACCCCACCCCCATCAATGATGTCCCACTTTACCAATGTTAAAATCTGGTCACCTTAATGTAGTCCCAGCTACTTAGGAGGCAGAGGCAAAGAAGGCATATATATATACATACATACATACATATATATATGGCAGCACCTGTGGCTCAGTGGGTAGGGACTATGTTAGTGAATATATATATATATATAAATAACATTGAATATATATTCAATGTTAGTAATCTCTGTGATAATTTATGGGGTAGACACTATTGTCATCATTGCCACTTTACAGGTGGGGGATATGATAACCAGACAAGTTTTTTCTTCTACCTTTTATTTATTTATTTATTTTTTTGAGACAGAGACTCAAGTTGTTGCCCTGGGTAGAGTGCTATGGCATCACAGCTCACAGCAACCTCCAACTCCTGGGCTCAAGCAA